CAAGGTAGGCGAGCTTCGCCATGAACTAGCGTTAACAGAGATGTTAAAGTAACGGCTGAGCCGAGCCGAGTTTTAGTAGTTGCCCATATATGTGCAGTAATAGAACCAACCACTTGTTCAGGCGCCGTTCCTACTTGACCGATTATTTTATCGCGCGTACCACCCACTTATATGCGACTCTACAGGTTGTTAGCAAAGCAAGCAGCATATCCTGTTTGAATTTCGCACGTGACGCAACGACATCGTTCATTTACTCAGTGTTGCAAAAGAAGGTGCTAGCAGCAAGGAAACGAAGATGGTGGCTAAACCTCTTCAGCTTATCAGTTGCCCTTCGGTTTCAGGTGAGGTGTAAATGTCCCGTCTCCCGACTCGAGCACCCCCTCCGTAATATGTAAGGTGATCAGAAATGAAATGAAGGTTGTTTTGCTGAATCAAGTAGTTGTGTAGTGGCAACTTGGAGTTGCTGCCGTTTCTGTCCTCAGTACTGTCTGGTTGCACCTTGCAGTTGCTGCCGAATTTTTCCGCGATAAGTTTATTATGCGTTTTTGCTTATATGCAAATGCAAAAACTCATATTGTGACGACCCCCGTGTGTGTGCGTGTGTGTATGTATGTGTATGTTTGCGTGTGTGTGTGTGTGTATGTGTGTGTTCGTCTGTCCGGATATTTCAACTCGGCACCCAAGCAAGCTCCGGCGCCAAAATTTTGTCGATGGATTCCCGGCCAAGTGCCACCCCAGGATCGCGGTACCGACCTTCACACAAGTCTGGGTCCCGCATACGAGAGAAAGTTTTGGCGGGAAAATCGCCAACTCAGGAACCAGAAAAACTAGAAAGCTGAAATTTTGAGATTATGTTCCCCGTCCATACGGAACTGAAAGATTTTAAATTCAGCCCTCAGTTGTGCGTGGTACTCGAATATGGCCCTGTGAGGGTTCCTGACGCGAAAATCGCTAACTTTGGAAACAGGAAGACTGGGAGGCTGGAATTTTCAGGGAATGTTCCCAGCACATATACAACTTAAAGTTATCGAATTGAGCCCTTCGATGTGCGCGGTTTTCATGTATGGCCCACGGAAATTTTTGATGGGGGAATGGCTAATTCGGTAATCGGGAAAGCTGGGAGGCTGAAATTTTCAGGGGATATTCCCAGCATGTATTCAACAAAAATTTCTCGGGTTCAGCCTCCAGGCATACGCGGTTCTCACGAACGACCCCGTGAAATTTTTTGACGGAAAAATGGCTAAGTCGGGAAATGGGAAAGCTGAGGGTTGAAATTTTAAGGGAATGTTCCCAGCCTCCCGTAAAAGTTAAAGATGTCAAATTCGGCTCCCAGATACGCGTGGCTTTCATGTACGGACCCATGAAATTTTTTGGCAGGAAAATTGCTAACTCAAGAACCAGAAATTGGAAAGCTGAAACTTTATCGGAATGTTCCCTGTCCAAGTACCACATAGGCAATTAAATTCCCGAACTTTGAGGACCAGTATGTCACAAATCCTAGCTACTAGTTTTCCGAGCGATCTCATCACAGCACGAAATATTGCAAAAACGCACGATCGCACGTGTCCGCCTGATGCGCGTTGCCAGTGATTTTTATGCGTTTTTGCCGTGCAGCGCTAGAGCGCTGCAACAGGCAGCAAAAACGCATATTGCAAGGACCCTGTCTGTGTGTGTGTTTGTGCATGTTTGCGTGTGTGTGTGTGTGCGTGCGTTCGTCTGTCCGGGTATTTCAACTCGTTAACCGCGCAAGCTTTGAAGCTGAAATTTTGCCAGTTTGTTCCCCAGTCAGGTACCACCCCAGGATCGCAGTTTCAACCCTCACACACTTCTGGGCCCCGTGTACGGGCACGTGAAAGTCTTGGCGCGAAAATCGCTAACTCGGGAACGAGAAAAGCTAGAAAGCTGAAACCTTGGGAAAATGTCCCATACAACAAAAAGATTTCAAATTCAGCTGCCCAGGACTGCCCGTGGCTCACGTACGGGCACGTGAAAACTATGGCGAGAAAATTCATAACTCGCGAGTGAGGAAAGCTAGAAAGTTGAAACTTTGAAGCAATGTTCCCTGCCCATGCGCGACTAAAAGTTTTCAAATTCAGCTGCCCAGGATTGCCCGGTACTCACGTTCGGGCACGTGGAAATTTCTGCGCGAAAATCACTAACTCGGAAACGGGAAAAGCTAGAAAGCTGAAACTTTAGGGGAATGTTCCCTACTCATGTACGAGCAAAATCAGGACGGGAAAAGCTAGAAAGCTGAAACTTTAAGGGAATGTTTCCCACTCATGTACGAGCAAAATCAGGGCTTAGAAGCATCCGGGGCTCACGTACGGGCACGTGGGAGTTTTGGCGCGAAAACCACTAACTCGGGAACGGGAGAAGCTAGAAAGCTGACTTTAGGGGAATGTTCCCTACTCATGTACAAGCAAAATCAGGTAGTTAGAAGCATTCGGGGCTCACGTACGGACACGTGGGAATTTTGGCGCGGAAATCACTGGCCTGGGAACGGTAAAAGCTAGAAAGCTGAAACTTTAAGGGAATGTTCCCCACTCATTTGCGAGCAAAAT